CATTGATGATGAAAACACATCCTGTCAGTTCGTTTGATAAATTAAAAGTTATAAGTCAGATGTGCCGTGTCCTTTCTAATTTCATCAGTCAACGCACATATCTTATTTCACGACCGAAATCATTTCGCTGTTAGGATACTAAATTAAACCATTACCACTACTGCTAATAACGATAATGGAGAATTTAAATGAGTTCATTTTATACTAAAAACCTGCTCTGAAGATGTCTAGAAGGACGACGAAAGCTTTACAATTAAATCAACTACCTCGGAGAACACAACTAATTCAATAATAATAATAATAAGGAGTAGAAAAAAACAACAACCGTAAGGAATATCTCTTGCTTCATACTAATAAGTTGGTCATTAACTAGGTGATGTCTTCTGCATCAAATGTTAGGTGCTAATGGATCAGTTATTCATTTCTGATAAAATATAAAATAAAGGTTTGCATTATTGTTTTTCTCTGTGACTGGTCTCTGGCGAAAAGTGGTCAGCTGTTTAATCAACCAAAGGTTGTACATTCTTTGATATATTATGATCCTGTGATCCTGTTTGCTTTCACTTTTTTTCATCAGTCGAAGTACATTATAAGTACATAAAATGTGTTGCATTAAGTTTCTTAAAATAAATGGCTGAAGTAGTTTGTTGTGAGGACAGCGTGTACTATAACCGTAATTGTAATTCAAGCGTCAAAAACATTTGGTCCTGTGGTCTAGAGCCCATGTATTTATACACCCTATTGATTCTCGATGGGTAATTTCGTGTCACCACACTTTTGCAGTTGATCTTCATGTAATAATAACTAAATTAGCAGGGTATTTAATTAGCATGTAAGTAGAGTGATAATAATAATTTTTCTCCACTACAATTGACACCAGAATAAGTTGTCCTCTTCTTATTTATCTTAGTATTACGGTGAAATTGTGGACTTTTTCTTTTATGATGTCTTCTTCACAAGTTGTCGTACTCACTAACATACTTTATTGTCAGCATTAAAGCCATCAATTACTTGAACTGATAATATTAAATGACGTTATTATCGAATAGGTGATTCTTTATTTCGAATACGTTTTTGTTAAGTCTGTATGAAAGAAAAAATATTTCACAATTACATGAAGGCAACTTTGTAGTTTGGAAATAAAGTTTGCACAATTACGTCACATGTTAGTGTATGTGTTTATGGACAGTGTGATCTGGTTTATTACCTTACATGTAATAAATTCGATAAAAAATTTTTTTGTTTATTGGATAATGACTTCTTCGAAAGATTATCAGTTTCACCTCACTACAATTTCGTGAATATATATATTTCCAGTATATACAGGTGGATTATCATAAAACGTTATAAATGAACACCCTCATCATATATCAATACATACATAACCTTCATTCATGTTGTTATCAGCTCTGCGAATATCTGAAGGATTATCTATGCAGTAATTCACTTTATGCATATATATATGCCTCATTCGAAAGGTTAAATTAATCTACTCAGCTTTTCCCAGTTATTACTAAATGATTTGATTCCTTCATTGTATTCTCCTGACTGTCGTTAAAGTTCATCTATGGAATTGCTGTTATCTTTTCAAGTTATCTTACTTTTCCATACGAAGTCAGTAGTGATGATTATCTTACATGTGATCGATCATTTCAGCCTCAGTATCGGACATTTTCTATCCTCTCTCTCTCTCTCATATATATATATATATATATATATATGCATACTTCATCAGCATTAGTGTCACATTTGGTGGAAAGGCATTTATCGATTAGTTTTGTCTCTCATACATGCTCTGTACAGGTCACTTATTCTTTCGATTTAAATTTACTTTATCATCTAAGCTTTTTGTTTATTTTCCAATGCATGTACGTGCAGTGTGTTGTGTGTGCACGTTCACATTTCTGGATTGTGTAATTTGTTTTACTTCTTCTGTTTACGCTTAGATCTTAATTTAGTATGAATCATTTTTTGTAGAGAAGTAGGCAACTAAAACAAGAATACTACAAAACAAATGGATTATTATTTTGTGATGATATTTATGTTCTTTTTTTTCACTATTTTATGTATTGTTGATTGTTTAAAGACATAAAACTGCCTTCTTGCAAGTTCGTTTGTTTTCTGATACAACCCTTCTTTGAGGCTTCACTCCACAGCACCTTTGTAAATGATTTTTGGTAGTCCAAGGAGTTCTTATACCCATTATCGTAAACGAATGGTTAAAATGACGCTTCTCTTAGGCATCATTTCGTGTATATTTATCCAGCTTTTTAAAAGATATTGGAAAAGAGCACAATTTCTTCTCACTGTATAGCCATTTATTATTATCATCATTGAGCAGAGGAGACTAATTTACTTTGACAGTCAACTTAGGAAATGGTCTCGATTTAAAACCCTCTTACACCTGTCTCAGCTCTGTGTGCTTCAGAGTTAAGCGCAAAAAAGTATTATCACGGGGTAGCTAGGTTGGGTTGATCATTCCCCGATGTACTTGAAGCGTGTGAACACCATAATCCTATACTGATGAAACGTAATCTTTTTAACACCTCTGTTAAGCTGGTTCCAATGTGTTTCCTATTTTCGGGTACATTTTGGCATTTGAAACAATTGTTGTAGTATTTAAAGCCACCAAGACTTCATTCACTAGGTGGAGAAATCTTCGTGTCGGTCAGCATACTCAATTGTCATATGTTTCGTTATCAAGACACCTGTTTATTATCAGGGATTTTAGTCACCGTCGCATTACATTCTACTGCCTGAGCTGTGAGTAAGTCTTTGGTAGTAGGAAATATTCGAAATCCATAACCATGTGAGTATTGTACCGATCGTAGCATTATCCGTTTATTGTGGGACAACTTAATTAACATTGCTTAGGTTAATGTGTGAGAGGTAGATAAAGGTGAACTGGTCGGGATACATATTAAACTTCCATCAACCAAAGTATGACTCACATTCACGTTATATACACTTATTATATATCATTATTCTCTTTGCTTCAGAGTAAAATATAGCATTTCGACAACACATCTCCATTCTTCTTTAGTTGGTTCCACAACCGACAATAAGCCCTCATTTCTTTCTTGTACGATCTCCATGTCACCCTCAGGGAGTCACCTCGTCGTTACCCATTCGGGTTCCACTCGAGAGTCTAACACGCTGTCACCTAACGGTTTCCAAATTACTTCTCAGTTGACGTCATCGAAGATCCTACCAAAGTCGACAAAATTGAGGTAGAGATTCGACTGGCATTCTATACTCTTCTATTAAGGATACAATTTTGTTTTAATAAAGTCTCACAGTGTTATACAGTAATATTTACTGATGACGTTTCGAGTTCAATTTACTGCTCGTAATCACATCAAGGTACTTACATAACTTTCTGACTTCGTTCATATACATGAATATAAAACACTGTGTGACTTTATCAAAAATCAAATTTTATCCATAATGGAATTATGCTCCACCACAGTGCCCAAGTTTTATCCTTATATCATTCTATGCTCTTTTCTATGATGATGCATAACGTTCCTTAATCCAGATTCTTCAGACCGTAGTCTTGGCATCCACAGCATCTGTGAGTCTCTCCAGTCTGACACGACTTAATACTTTACTTCGTGTCTACAGCAACATGATTCTGCCTCAGTTTTTGCAAAGACTGCGCTGTTTACGTTAACTTGCTAGGTTGGCTTGATAAATACACTGAACCAAAGTAGGTTAGCAGTCAGTATGTTATCTAGGTCTTTATCTTATTACCCTAAACAGGCTTACATTTCTTGTCTGCAATACACATGGCAGTTTACCTTATTTTTTTGTTGAATGTATAGGCAGATAGCACTGAAAATCTTATGAGCGTTTTTGACATTTGTTCATCGTAAACATATCTCTATCTCTTTCTCAATTTTGCTTATCCGTCTCTGTCTGTAATTATATTATATATCTCATTTATTTACTTTTCTTCTTGTTGACTTGTCGATGTAATGTTGTGAATAACTCTGGTTTTAAGTAGAAAGCGGTTAATAATATTGCCATATTGGTTGAAGTTAATCTGTTGGAAACCACTATACTTATTAACGTCGATTGTCAATTTTTACTACTGACCACTGACATCCACACAAAGCTGCATCAGTAATTTATTCATTATTATTATTGTTCCCTTAGGTTCCTAGTGGAACATAGGGCTTCAACTGCACGTCTCCACTTGCTTCTGTCTTCCTTCTGCTGTACTTTTCATCTGCATCCATGTTTGTCCATACTATTTCAACTCCTCTTCACACGATCTCCTCCATGTCACCCTTGCACTGACGTCCCACTCGCCGCGTGCTTCCCTTTCGTCCTTGTTCCACTCGTGCAATGGCCTGACGCGCGCGCGATGTCACCCAGCGGCGGCCTCCTCAGCGAGTGTCCAATTCATCTCCACTTTCTCCTGCATTTTTGTTGGTTGGCGATTGGTTCTTGTTTTGTTTGTTCCCATAGTCTCTTGTTGGTGATTCTTTCTGGCCATCTGATCTTCAGTACAAAGCGAAGACAGTTAGTTGTTGATAAAGGTCTGCAACAGGCTGTTAAAAATATTCTTTGTGACCCGCCAAGTTTCTGATCCGCTAGAAGAACTGACTTTACGTTTGTATTAAAGATCCGAATTTTGTTGTTGATGCTGAGTGACGAAGATTTCCAGATTGGTATTTTATTCATAGAAGATACGAAAGTAATCGCTTATTCTAAAGGGAAGTTGCATTGTTTCATATATGATCATTTAACCACTGGTTTCTACATGAGTAATGTGGTGGAGTAATACAGGAGCATAAAGCGTTTTTGCACAATATAGTGCATATATATGGCATTTCTGCCGCTACTTCTGTCGATTGTGCAAATTTTCAATAAAAATGGAAGTCGACCGATACAATATTTCTCACTTAATCTCTTAAAACTTGTCGAATTTATTATATAAATTATTTTTTGAGATATTTCTCTTAACAGTCATGTTATTTTTCTGTTCTATTTAGGTTCCTGTGATGCCGCTGATTTCCTTCGTGAAGCCCAAACAATGAAGCGACTCCATCATCCGAATCTAATCCAACTCTATGCTGTTTGCACACAATCGGAGCCATTCTACATTGTTACAGAATACATGTCCAAAGGTTCTTTATTGAATTACTTGCAATCTCCCGAGGGTCGTGCATTGGATATCCAATGTTTAATTGTGATGGCTGCTAAAATTGCTTCTGGTATGGCTTACCTGGAGTCCAGACGTCACATTCATAGAGATTTAGCTGCTAGAAATGTTCTTGTCGGTGATCAGCATGTAGTGAAGATAGCGGATTTCGGATTAGCTCGAATGATTCATGTAGGTGTATTTTTTACCGCGGAAATTTTTTTCTAAAATCTCTGTCATCTGTGTGTAGCGGTTTACTAAGAAATTGTTTACCTTTATTCTTTCTCTTTATCAATGATTATTTTATCTGCATATTTACTTTTTTTAGTTTTGTCATGTTGCATGGTATTTTTGTTTTTCTAATGACATGAATATCTGATACAGTGACTCTAAACGGAAACCATTCATCAGGGTCATTAAGCTAATTTTTATACTTCACAAGTATTATCAGAAAATATGATTAATCACACTGTAGCTTTGTAGTATCTATTCCGTTGTACTGGCCGACGCAGTTTAAATAGTTTGTAGCCTGTATTTTTCTCCGCACACTGACACAACCATTTTAAACCAGTAAATGCTGGTAAGCTATTTTGTCTTCTTCTGAGCCTTTTCATCAATGCGCACGCAGTCCGACTAAGGATCATACCCAGAACTGTACGAAGTGAGTAAATTTTTCCATGAATTCTAACTCACATCATAGCACCACCGGCAGGTTTATTTTTAATGACTATTTATCCTCATACCCACTCGGCATTTCTATTAGGAGCTCATGATACCCCTTTCAAAGTTTTGTACTAATTGGTAGTGAAATGATGATCTGCAGTAGGCTTTGTGGTGATTCCACTTATTTCTAGGTAGTTTTTGGTGGAGCAGCATTTTTAAATCATTCATATTACCACAAACCCTACTTTTGATTATGCCTGATTTTTTATTATGAAATCCTGTAAGGTTGTAGGTAGGGGCATCCTTTCAAGTGTTTATCACCTCGTGGTACGTGCATATCTTTACTCAGCCTAAGATAACACTGAACAGCTTGTATTTGTTGATATATATATATATATATATATATATATATATATATCAATTCAGGCTGGAAATACGTGTTGGTGTCTAGTTGTGTAAAGGAAACTAAGTAAACAAGCCTTTTGCAGGTGTTCAATGGTAAACTGTAAGGCAGAAACACGGGATCTCGGGTTTCGACCACAGACCGACGCACTCCTAAATGTCGTCTAGGCTGAAAAGTAGGAGGGTTGTGCGTTAGGCTAGCAATCTCACTCCATAAAAATAACATTACCTGTATTGAAACTTCAAAGCTCAGAGCCCTATATTACACTCGGAACGTAAAGCAGAATGTATCTAGGTTAACAGCAGCTCTACACAGACTTGTCAATTATATTCTAACCTAATGGTTACCTCATTATTAACAGTCAAGTAGTAGTAGATAAACTTGTGTTTTCGTAGTTCTATATTATAAACTATTTTTACACCGGAACAAGCTGGATTCAGGAAAAACAAGTCATGTATTGTTCAAATCGACACTCTACGGATCATCACTGAACAAAGCTTGGAATGGCTGTCACCTCTCCACCTCACTCAACTTCATCGACTTTGAAAAGGCCTTCGATGGTGCAGCGTCGATCGAGAGGTGATTTGGCAACTACTTCGCTACTACGGGGTGCCATCGACAATTATACATCTCATCCAACAGTTATACAACAATGCTGCATGCCAAGTAATCCACAACAGGAAACTTACGGAAGCCTCTAAAGTGAGGACGGGAGTGGGACAAGGCTGTCTACTATCGCCAATGATTTTATTTTTATTTTTTTATTTATTTTTATTTTTGATTTACAGCTTGATTCCACACTTTATTTTTGGTACAAGTATGGAATTTTCAGCATGGATATCGGTAGCCCAAATTTTGCAGGCCGACCATAGATATCAGGTGTGCGCCGGCGTGGGCTCGAACCCCGGACCATGTGGATGGTCGGCGAGAGTCTTAACCACTGTGCCACCAACGCACAGTGGTGGTGGTAGATTGGATAATGAGACAGAAAACAGGCAATGAGGAAACAGGCATAAAATGGACTCACACAAAAATAGAGCTTGGAGGATCTGGACTTCGCTGATGATATGTGTCTGATTTCCTACAAACTGGAAGATATGCAAGCGAAAAGCATCAAGCTGGCAGAAGAAGCATCCAGAGAAGATAGGCCTTCAGGTGAACATAGAGAAAACAGAGGTGATGAAGATTCCTGGCCAACACCAACAGCAACAACAACAACAGACAACAATCAGCCAGCATAAATGGGAGGAACCTGAAAGAAACAACCTCCCTTACCTACCCACCTACCTGGGGAAGTATCGTTTCAAATACAGGAGGATGGAACTGACGAGGATATCAAAGCCAGAATCGGAAAAGCAAGACAAGCTTTCATTACTCTTAAGTCTGTGTGGAAATCAGCAGCACTCAGCATCAAAAATAAGATCCGGATTTTCAACTCCAATGTGAAGTCAGTGCTACTATAGAGATCAGAGACTTGGCCAGCGCGTCATAAAAAGCATCTCCAACAAACTTCAGACCTTCAATAACAGTTGTCTTCGCTCAGTACTCAAGATCAGATGACCAGTCAGAAAAGATCAGCAACAGGGATCTCTGGCAATGAGCAAACCATCCTAACAGGAACCGATTGTGAAACAAATAGGCAGGAAGAAATGGAGATGGATTGGTTGGCCATACTCTGAGGAAACCATCAAGTGACATCACTAGACAAGCCATTGCTCGAGTGGAATCCGAAAGGGTAGCGGCGAGTTGGCCATCAGTGAGAGGGTGACTTGGAGGAGGTCATGTGAAGAGAAAATGAAAGCGTTTGGGCAAACTTGGAGCGGGGTGAGAAAGTTGGCAGAAAACTAAAGGCAATGGAGACGCGGTGCTGAAGCCCTATGTTCCTCTAGGAATTAAAGGATATAATAATAATACACTGAATTTGTTAAGTATCATAGTCAAATATTTGAAGAATGCTGTTCGTTCATAAATGAATCCAAAGCAATATTTATTATTGTGGTTTGGTTTTCACAAACGCATACTTTCCTGTCACTACTCAGGCTAAAACAGTGTGAGCCTCACACTATCTTCAGATATATCTCAGTTACCAGCTTTTATTTTTTTGTGGCAAGTATTATCGTAGATCCATTCAGCTTAGAAAATGGGATGAAACAGTTAATGCAAATATAGCTGTTCTGTCTTTATTTATTATGCGCAATTAATACATAGTTCTGTGAAGTATTATATTGAAAAGGTGGTAGATGACACTGCTAGTGCTTGTACCTAGTTATATTGTTATTGTACCTTGTCAGAATCTGATCTCTGGAAAGGTATTCATTGTTGTACACATTTTCACTTCAAATTAATTACATGGAAAAGCACATTCCCTTGAATTTATTTGGACTGTGTGATCATTTTTCCAGTACTTGATACTATAAAAGGGATATTGGTCTTTCTGGAGTCTTATCATTCCACTTTGAATAATAAACGAAAAAAAACAGTTTTCGTTTTCTAATACCAATGTGTAATGAAATCAACTAAGTGTGAAAAAGGCGTATTTCATACATTTGGTTCCCTTGATAAATTTTGATAGAGAAAGGAAGACCAGATTTGCAGTATAAAATGATATCATTCTATTTCACAGGTTCTCATCAGCTGCAAACTACCTGAAATTACAATGGTTATAAATAATAACATTTCATACTGCATTGTCACAGACCAAACTTATGCAGGCAGAAAGTGAGTGTGGTCAATCTCTCACTCCCTTTTTAACCATATCGTTTTCATTACACTGTTTAGTCATACACACTAGTGAGCTCAACTCACTAAGCAAGTTTTCAAATTGATGAACTTTGACCTTCTTGAGTCGCCATGTTGACACTGTTTATTAGATTTTTCTGTTTTCTGTCTTCTCTCACCTCCTTTTTTCATAGTTTGACAGTATATAAATTGATGGTGAGTTAGATTATAATACTTATGTTCCAGATGCGTTCACCCTACAATATCTTCTCTGTTACCTTCCAAACAATAAAGTATAAAATGCTATTACTTATAACCATTGTAATTTCAGGTGGTTTGCAGCTGATGAGAGCCTGTGAAATAGAATGATATCATTTTATACTGCAAATCTGGTGTCTCTTTCTCTATCAAAAGGCGTATTTGTTAATTTTAAAACGAAAACTTAGTAAACAAGCTCAGATTTGTAAACCAGATTGTGAATTACTACTTTAAGAAGGTGTAGTTGCATTCTGGTTTTTGTGTAAAAGGTGTACTTTTTATTTCAGTAAGCTTACTAACGTTGTTTCATCTTGGACTGAACATTTTCCTGCACTATTCAGAGATACGCATTGTATGTGGACTGAAATTGCCGAGGGGATTTGTGTCTGACGTACTAGTTAGCTGTGCATCCCCATACCCTTATACATGTTTATACCAAGAATTGTTATTTAGTGATTGGAATAAAAACTTTTCTACAACGTGTAAGGTAATTGAAACAAAATAACTTTCTCGTGCATATGTTAATCCTTTTAGTTATTTTACCTTCAGGGTAAAAATAAGTTGTACTTTATATTTTTTTAGACATTTTATTACAATCTTGATATGGTAGACAAATGATTAGTAGTTTTCTTGTAGTTTCGTATTGTAATGAAGTGCACTTCCTCATAGTTTCAGGTAGAAATAATTAAATGATTAAATTTTATTCCATTAGTAGTAGGTGGTGTTGTCAAATTTACTTCCGTCATTTATTTGCTTTTTTGTACATTTCTATATGCATACTTTTGTTTGTGTTTGTGTGTGTGTGTGTTTGGTCATTATTACTGTGTTTTGCTTTGCACAACTAGTTAGAAATGTAGTTAACTCTAGACAACGTCATCTTCGTGTAATCGGCGTCTATCAGTTAGGGAAATTCCTAGGTAATTTGTGTCTTTATTAACTAACTGATTTTTAATTATGCCATTTGGGTTTTATTTCTGCTGTTTCATAACAAGAATATTATATAAGAATTCAAGGGAAATACAGTGACGGGTTGTGGTTTCCTCCTGAAAGCTTGTCAAATCATTGTTAAGAAAAAATATGTCACTGTCTAGCTCTGAACAATACCTTGTCATATATATATGTAGTTTGTGATGTAGTAGTTTGACGCCTA